GTTCGTCTTTTATTCCCCTGTCTGTACCCCCTTCCCTGACTGAATTGTGAGCTGCCCTGAGTCCCCTTCGGGGGGGGGGGAAGGGCGGCATATAAATGTAATAAATCTAATCTAATCTCTTCCATTTGCATCGGAAGGGGATGATAAATTTCATGTCCAGTTAAAAGGGGCTTACAGAATGGGGATGAGGAGGGAATTCTTTTAAATTTTCCTAAATATTAAATGAGCTGTGTCTGATTTCCAGAAAAACTGCGGTGATTGAATGATTTGATTGAAAGACTGTGGCCTTTCGCTCTAGGCTGGGATAATTGGAATAAGAACATTTCCGGACCTCTTTTGCCAGGGTGTTATTTCTTTTATTAGGCCCACAAATTATTGGTAGTTGTGGGATTCAGGATTCTAGGAAAACTGTTTTCAGTACTTAACCTCAATCTTCCCAGTGACTGGACAGCTTGTCCCCGACAAAAAAAACATCACCTGCAAACTTCCCTCCCCAACTGAAGAATTCATTTCTTGAAGGAGAGTCAGGGATGCATATTAATCTGTAGGGGTCAGAGTGCTTGTTTGTTTTAAATGGCTGGCCTAATAGAATGGAAGAACCCCACCCCTTTTTCTCAAAAAGGACTTTTTGCATTTTCCTATCTCCTAATTAATAAAGAGGCACCTAAAATGATGAAATAAAATGTGATGTGTTTAATTTTAATGTATGTTATATGAATCCAATTGCTTGTTATGTTATGAATCAAGTTAAGAAAGTGGTGTTTTAGTATACATTATTGATCCAAGCTTAGTCTTACAACCTCGAGGTAGAAATTATAACTTTCCAGTTGGCTTGAAATCTGCCATTTCTTGTCTATATGATTAATGCCTACCTAAAAGTTTGCAACAAACTTCACAAACAACTCTCTGCCCCACCTCTGCCCAACATATTGGAATGGGTGATCCATTCCAATCTGTTCCTGGCACAGGTATCTCTGCTACCTGTTTCCCCATCCTCTGCTAGAGTAATGCAGGTTCTCCTGAGGCCCAATGCAAAACTAAATCATTCAGATTATTCACCAGGATCTAGCTAACAGCCTGATGAATGTAAGAAGAGGTGCATGGTCCAGCACCTGCTGCACATCCCATACAGGACACATTCAGCATGTGGACAAATATAAATGTATGTATTCATTCACCACATTTATAGGAACAGGGATGACTGGATCAGGAAACCTAGGCAGCAAAAGAACTACCTTTCACTGAAGTATCTGGGCCAATTTGCGATCAGCTACCATAATAGTTGCTTCCCCCTTTCTTCTGGTCATGCTTGCTCTAGACCGGGAATCCGATTGCCTCACCCTCCTTACATTGACATGCTGGTAGTAGCTCCAAGCCACTGGCAGACCTTGTTCTGTCAGCAGCAGTAGTCTCTCAGTGGGCTCCCTGCAAATGCCGAAGGCTGACACTCTTCCTCACCCTTCTTTGCACCCAGCCATGAAGTCGATCGATCAAACAAATTATATTCAATAAAAGCTAGCAGGAGGCAGGAAGCTGAATCCAGGCAGCACAGCAGCTGCCTACACATTTTGGAAAGGCTGCCAGACAAGTAAATAAGAGGAAAGGAGGCTTCCCACGCAGGCAAACTGATTTGTTCTGACTCCCAAAGAAAGTGGCAATAATGGAAGTGGCCTCTAAGACTAGCTCTCTGGCTACAATCAGCCAGCATGCTTTTTTGAGCTAAATGGGATGAGCTGCTCTGGATGCCAGGTTGTCAGTGGTCTTATATGGCTATAACACACCAGCACTGGGAGCACATTTATTTGGGGAAAATATTCTTTCTGGACTTGAAGAAGTTAAGATCTTCCAAGATTATTAGAGATTGTATTTATGTAAATACTGAGTACTTGTAACATGAAAACAAATTCCTTGTCCTGCCAGAATGGAATGTGAATCATTATTGGAGGCAGATATGTTAAGTTATATTTTATGACCATTCTTTTCTTCAGATTTAGCACCTAGTCAACTATGATTGATTTTTAAAAAACTAAACAGAATCAAATGCGAGATTCTTGGATAGAAGATCCCTAGGAACATCACCTAGACTAGACTAGAAAGTCTAAAGAAAGTGCTTACAGAGGTATACACACACACACACACACACACCAGAAAAAGGCAATGACAAACCTTTTTGTATTGTTGCCAAGAAAATTACAAGACTATGAGGTTGTATTCACCAGAAGTCAAGCTCAGCTGGAGGAGTCTTAGCACCGCATTTGTGCTGTTTTCCATTCAGAAAACCCTTTGATTTCCTACTGTGCTGGATTATTAGAGATTGTATTTATGTAAATACTGAGTACTTGTAACATGAAAACAAATTCCTTGTCCTGCCAGAATGGAATAATGTGAATCACAAAAGGAAATGTTATGGAAAAATGAAAGATATGTTGGTCTGATCCTTGAACAGGAATTTGCTCAGTCCCTCAGGGAGTCAGCCTTTTCACAATCTTTGTTCCAGAAAAGCAGCCTTAGAACAGACATTCTCCTTCAATATTAAGCCTTCTGATTTTACCTTAAGTCCTGCCCTCATTTGCACCAAAGCCCTGACATCTTTCTTGCCTTAAGCCGAGAACTTCACCCTTAGCTTCTCCTGAGCCTCTGAACAGAGCCTTAAGTCATTATTAGCAACCCCCCTTATTCTTATTAAAATATCTGAAACCTGTTATGCTTCAACACACCTGTTACTTCAGAGTAGGTTATTAGTAGTAGGTGTAATCAAAAGTGTGTTTTGCTCTGTATTATTGGAGTTTCTTTTCTTTCTCTTCACCACATCACTCCCCTGGTCCCCTATAATTCTGAAAACAACTTCTCTCTAGGCTTTCAATGAAGTTGAGAACAGCAAAATGGACTTTACTTATTTCATGGGGTATGGAAGGGGAGGAAATGATGCTAAGCCACCTCAATCCTATTCAGAAATGAATCTTTAATTGGAGACTAGGGTTAAAATGTAGGCAGATCTGCCTTTCCTTACTGCTTCTACTGGCACTACCTAATGAATAATGACAGAAGGTTTTGCTTCCATTCTCTCTAAGGTTATTTTCCACCTAGTATGT